ACTCCTGTAAAGAAAACAAAGCTAAAAGGGTGAGCTTACGCCCGTGAGATTTCCATGCAAGCAACAATCAATAAACACTTAAATCAGTACAATTAAGCAAGTAGTGCATATTTCACTGTACAATCACTTTCATTAGCAATTGAGGAACCACTTCACTGAACAATCACTTTTAAAAGGATACGGTGCTTGCATTAGAGTCACTTCAATGCACTACACACTCCGCCAAACTCCTCCTTATGACCTCCAAAATAATAAACACTTCCCTCACTTGGATGGCCATATCAATATCAGTAATCTGCTACTTCGTGGTAATACTCGAGTATACCGAACACTTACCCAAAGCTACCGTCCTACCCGACCAAGTCCTTTGCTGGCTCAAATAGTCCGTTGAACATAGAGTTTTGGGGCCCAGTTCAACCAACGTGATAAAGTACACACACGGCTTACAGCCATGCACACTTACAATATCACTTGATCAATTATCAACCTTCAAACTCAACTAAGCCGAGTGCGATAAAGTACACTCCGGACTTAGAAGGTGAGGGACAATTGAGATACACTTTGCAATGGATCACTTAGCAATATTTCATAATAAGTACATTTGTCACATAATTTCACTTAAGTACACATAAGTAGTTTAATATATAAATTCGGAAAACACTCACCAAGATTCAATGAACTATTCGCGAGTCTCGAGTTTGTTTCCTGGCTCACCGCTATTTCCTGGGGCAATTTAATAAGTTCAAGGTAAATATATAATTCGTAAGTGATCACTTATCATTCTTATTTTATTATTTAAACTATTAAAATCAGGTTTGACCTTGAAATACAAATTTATTCTTTATTTACTATTTATCCTTCATTTTATTTTGAAACTTATTAATTTTATCATTTAAACCAAGAATTATACACATGTTCTAAGGTTATAATCTTATAGGTATTTGAATTAGCTGTAATCTATTTTCCACTCAGAATCCTAAGATGCAAGCTTAGAAACACTCCATTGGTTCTCCTTTTATCTAGCCAAAGTCTAAGTTGTGTGCACTTTAAATTTTATTTCACTACACGAGCTTCTCAAGTTTTATAGTCTTTAAAATACTGGTGAAAACAAGCTTAAGTGGTTATAAGCCATTTTAGGTATATAGCTGTAACGAGTTACTTTGGAGTCTCTAAAACACCATAGGACTTATTCTATTGTTATCTCGGCCATCAATAAAAATTCCAGCAATATTACTTCCAATTTTCAGCAGAACTCCAATTTTACTTGCTTAAAACACTATATACGTAATGTACATTTGGTTCAGCATAAACCAGTGAAAATAATACCTAAGTTCAACAATTTATTCGATCAAAGTCACACACTAAATCTGTTATTAGCAGTTGTGTTATCATTAACTTTTCCAGTGACACAGCGGCTTGGTTTGCAGTTTCTTTCCTCCCCAATCTCTTCGGTTTCACTCCAGCTCGTCATGCAAAAGATAGTTTTCAAGCTACCGAGTAGCCTTAACCCACACACATAAAAGTTTACAGTTAAGGTTTCGAAGGAAAGGCTGATCAGAAATTTAATTCTCTCTTTCGGTCATGATGGATAATTTTTTTGGCAGCCCACAGCTTTTAATCAAGAATTTCTTCATGACATCCTCAAGCAATGTAGCAGTCCAAATGTTCGTAGTTAATTCAGCAAGAAAGGAGCAGAATTTTGTTAAGAAATTTCAGTCACAAGCAAGTCCTGCGGTTCGGCCATTCCGAACGCAGAACGGTCCCTCTCATTTTCTTCATTTCCTTACTCCCACTAATCATGCAAATGGTAACTTCGGCCACAGTATCCTACGGCAACGTAAAGTTTAGAGCTAATGGACTGAAACAATAGCTGAACCAGGCCTTCTCTCGGCCAATATTGAAAGGGATTCCTGCAGCAGCTAGTTATGCAACAGGAAGCTTTTCATAGTTTCTCTATCCAGATATAAATCTTCCAAGCAAGCTGCAGCTAAAATACTATGCAACAAATCAGGTCTCAAGGTGGAATTTTTGGAGCCAAAGTTCGTAAGGAAACCTGGTAAGTTTCTTTCCCTTCTCTCGGTTGAAGTGGACAGAATTCCAGCAGCTATTTCTATCATTTCCAGCTTACTCCTCTCGGTTGCTAGTTTCTTTTCCTCTCTCTTTCTAGTCAGTTACTTAGCAACGTTATGCTCAGCTAAGACTCATTCCCTCACTAAAATACAACATTTTCCAGCAAGTTTCCTTCTTTATTTTCAACTCAAGGCTCAACAGATTCAGTCCAGTTTCAATTTCGCTCCTTTGTCAGATTTCTCCTCAGTTAAAACTTATTATTCTTTGCTAAAAACTAACATGCAGCCCATATATTCAGTTATATTCCAGAAATGAAAGAGTGGTTACAAGATTCTTACCTTTTTCCGTTAAGTTTTAATAGTTGCAGATTGCTCCTGCTCCTAGCTTCGGTCTTTCTAACTTTTGCACCAGCTCTACCCTTTTTCCCTCACTGATGCAGTTGATACGTGAATTGCAGACTGGTTTCACCTCTTTGTACTCACTCTTGGTTCACGGTTCTAAGGTCACAAGCTGGATGAATGCAGCTAACACTGTCTAACTCTCTCCTCCTCACTCTCGGTTGCACTGGAAGCAAGAGGAAATCAGAAATGCTTCCTTTTCTCCCTTTTGATTGTGTACTGAGATGAGAGAAATATGTCTTAGTTTCTCTCGGTCTTGCTCTTAAGGTCTGGTTGATATGAAGAGAAGTAAAGTGTACTCCTTCACTCGGCTGATCACTCAATCTTCTTCACTCGGTGTTGCAGGCTGCTCAAGTTTGCTATCACAACTCCTCACTCGACCTCCCTTTTGTTTTCGTTCGTATAGATAGCTAATGGTGAAGCTTCACTTTCTTTTCCCTCACACTCCGTTTCACTCACTCGAGTCTGCTTTAGGAAGAAAGCAAGAAAGGAATCATCTTTTGTTTGTTTTTGCTCTCAGTCCGCTAGTTTCATGTCTTTAAGGTACTCTCTCATTTGGTCGATGCTTACTCAGCTAGCTTAGAAACATTTCCCTCCTGGCAGCTGTCTTATTTCACTGCCCCAAATTTCATTTCCACCGCTTAATCTAATAGGGCTAGCATTCGGTTCAATGAAATGTATTCCTTTCTCTTGGTTGGTTTCTAAATTCTGATAATTTGTGTGATGGCCGCATGGTAATTAGTCTAGACTTTTAAGGTTAATTTGGTCTTTTAGTTATAGTTTAATTACTCCCTAAGGCCTCAAATTTTATGATTTCATGTATGAACTCCTACTTCATTCGTATTTTTGGGAAAATTTTCTTACATTGATTTTGACACATTTAACTTTAAGAAAACCTCATTAGACATGTACTTGTTAAATTTTTAGTGTATGTTACGTGTCTAGTAATATTCGCAATTAATCACAATTTATGATATGCACGCCATATATTTATTTAATTCATAAAATTTTTCTACACTTCTAGACATGTACTTATTGAATTTATTTTCTAATTCTCAATTTTATAGAGATTCAATTAGACATTTAATTTAACCATTCATTCGTTATATCTAATATTTCTAATATCACAGTAAATAAAATAAAATAATTTTAGGATATGCACATAATTTCTCGGGTTCTCACATATCCTCCCCAATCCCCAGCTCTGTTTAAAATAGGAGAAGAAAAATCCCTCTGCCCCTGCTCCTGCTCCCGCCTCGCCCCACCTCCTGTCCCATGACTCTCCTTGCTGGATGGCTGCGTTGCCATCCTTAAGTGATATGGGTGACATCTTTTCGATCACTTTATTTCTTATATTAATTCTAAAGTTTAGTTATAGAAGTTTGGTTCTTGTTTTCTTAACTTTTAAATTTTGGTAGTTTGTAAACCTAAGAGAGTGGATGAACTTCTATGATTATTAAGTGATGTTTTTATGGTTATATGAGTTTATTTCTTAACCAAGTTATTTAACAATTTTGCTTCTACAATCATGATTAATTGGTTATTAGTGATCATCTAAAGGTGTTGTTTCATCAATAACCATTGTGATTCAATACTAGTTCATGAAAGTATTAAATCTAAGGAATTAAGTCACTAATGTAGGGTTACACCTTTGTAGCTTTGATGACTTGTTTCATGTAATTTCATAAAAATTGAATGAATCTATAATTATTTTCATATCACTTTAGTGGGTGCGGAATAGTTATAAGCATGGTTGGCATATTGGGAAAAGCATATATTACGTACATTTGGAAATTACGCTATAACTAATAAGGTAATAAACTCAATTGACCAATTATTTCATTTGCATGCGTAGATAAGAATTCCTTACTTTAAGCACATTTTTTTGTCAATTTTACTACTTTAGTTGCATGTTAGCAGTATAAATTTACTTGCTTTATTTGTTATAGTCTAAATAATAAAAAAGTCCGAATACCACCGGTAATTAGCAATCTTTCCTATAGGATCAATACCAAATGTCCCCTATTCTCTATAAATGACCTGTATACTTCCAGAAAATAGGATGTTTAGGTTTTTAAAATTTGATGTGAAGTCAAATCTTGTCAGTCCAGTGACGGAGCCAGAAAATTTTTTTTGGGGGGGCCAAAATTTTTTCCTAATAAAATTATCTTAATATATTATGTTCAAAATAATTTTCTTCTATTTAAATATATGACATCTAAAAATATCAAATATTAAATTTAATTATAAAGGTACGTCTATTCATAAATATGCGGTACAATCATAACAAAAATTAACAAAAAAGATAACCTTTCATTAAATATCTTATAACATCACAAACCATCCAATTTACACATTATGAGAAGATGCTCTCCAATATGCCACTTATGCAATATATATATAACCATGTAATATAAATGTAACTATTTTCAATTGAAAAAAGATAAAAGTTATGTTAACATACTTTGAAATTTCAACATCTTTTCTTAGAAGTAAATTGAGCTCTACGCTCTTTCATAGAACTAAATTCATCTATGATTGAATCACTGCTAAATTTTTTAGCAACTTCCTTTTCTATATACACAGTTAGACAATCATTCAAGAAATTATCTTCCATCTTATTTTGGAGGTTTGTTTTGATTATTTTCATAATTGAAAATGCCCACTCTGTAATTGCAGTTGATACAGGAAGAGTAAGAACAAGTCTAATCAATCTATCAATAAGAGAATATATCACTGATTTTCTTGTCTTCACCAAGCCTTGACATAACTCATGAATACCAGATAATTCTTGCAATTCATGATGATTTGGAATGCCGAGTTCAAAATGTTGAAATTCTATTTTTAGACGTACTAGTTCTTGCTCCATAAAATCATTCAGATAGAACTTCTTTGCAAGTTTACAAATATCATCTATCTTGAACATTATAAATCCATTTCTAGGATCCAAAACAGTGCTCAAAACAAGCAATTCCACGGTGTGATCATTAAACCTGCTATGTAACTCTTGCAATTGATAATCAATTGTTGCAAGCAATATATCCATTCGATAATAATGCTCCACACTAATCTCATCATGATGACTTCGAGATCTACCACGTCTTGCAATATATTGAGCATTCATACATGGGATATCAATTTGATGTTGCTCAAAAAATAATTTAACTTTCACCAAGAAATCATCCCATCCCGAATCTCGAAAATTCTTCAGTAGCTTTGTTGTGCTTGAGACAAGATACATTGCATTCAAAATATCTTGAGATTTACGTTGCAATGCTATACAAAAAAGATGAGTAATTTCCACAATGTCTTTCATAAGATGCAAAGTGAAAACAAACTTAAAAGATAACAACTGATTCAAAACAAAATTTGCATCTCCACGTTGAGAGTATGAACCTCCATTTACTGCAATGTTACTTAAAACCACACAAGTAGCATTGAACATTTTCAATAAACTAGAAATAGAATCCAAATGAGAACCCTAACGAGTATCTCCAACTCGTTTTAAAGTGCCAATTTGATTAAGCCCCCTTCCAGTTTCAAGTTCACCATTAACAATCTTAGTAGCAACTTCAATTGCTTGAGCCTCCTTTAATTCATTATTACGTTTGCTAGATGTAGTAACATTGTTGATAATGAAAACAAAATTGAAGAAGAATTGGTGAACAGAAGCTACTTCTCTAGAAACTGCAACTAAAGCAAATTGAAACCTATAAGCCAAACAATGAATGTAACAGGCATATGGACATTCATGGCAAATTAAAGCTTGCAAGCCATTCCATTCAAAGATGATTAATTCATATATATATATATATCAACTCTTATAATATAAATTAAAATTGTAAAAATTTAGGGGGGGCCAATTTTATTTTACACACATATTTACATATTATGAATTAAAATTCTCAAAACTTAGGGGGGGCCATGGCCCCCCTCTGCCCCCCCTTGGCTCCATCATTGCTTGTCACCCTCCATCGGTACCACCCAACCCAACCCTTCCCCCGATGAAACAAAGTGTTTCTTTCCGTATCATTTTGCTGATATATCTTCATTCCTGAATTTTCGTGGGTTCATTTTGCAAACTAGTAGTAGGATTATACGTTATAGCTGAAAGACGGCCGGGAACGGGCCATCGTTGCACCAGTTACCACAAGGTGAACAACATGTTATGGTCTTTGGATGAAACATAGAACCTCGTTAGACACGTCTACCCGCAGCCATGGAAAATGGAGCTTTCTTCCAACTTGCTGTTTCCGCAAATTAATTTTTTTTCTTCTTGATTATGCAACATTTCGTTTTAGATTAACTTCACATTGCATCCCTTTAACTTATACCACTTTTTCACTTTACATCCTAAACTTTAATTTGTGAACACTTTGCACTTTAAATTCTTAATTTTGGACACTTTGCGTTCTAAACTCTTAAGTTTGTTGTATTTAAGTCCAATCAATAATTACATTCGCAAAATTAACTAGATAAAGGATGGCAAAAATTATTGATAATATACCATTTTATTCTAATTGTGATACCTTAGCTTTTTGGACCACTTTTAGGATATGATCATTGATTTATATGGTCTCAATCACTAATATTTTTTTTTTTTGCAAAGCTAATGAGATAAAATATGATGCAAATTAGTGATAATATATTGTTTTATTTTTTTCCATGATAACTTAGCACCTTTTGACCACTTTCAACACAATGTCATTGATTTGCTGGGTCATCCATGTCGTTAATTTTATTGAAGTTGTCATTGATTGAATTTAAATGGGATAAATTTGAGAGTTTAGGTTACAAAATACCCAAAATTAAGAGTTTAGGGTGTAAAGCATATAAAATTGAAGTTTCAGTGTAATACAAGTCCGAGATACAAAGTGGAGTTAGTCCTTTTTTCTTACTTCTATGTTTTGTACATCAAGGGATACAAGGAAGAGGGAATTAAGAAAAAAAACTCAGAGGAATAATAGTTTGAGGAAATTGCCTTGAGAAGGGGTTATTAAGTTGTCTTGCTCAGTCGAATTTGAAGGAGATTGGTGAACTTTTGGTGGGTATTGAAGGTATGTGCCACGGAGGAGGATGGGCTCATGAAGTTCGACGGTGGTAAGCAGAACTAGAACCCAAGAAGGGTATTTTGGAGTTATCAAGCCTTTTTTCTTTTTTGATATCAGCATCATGTTAAACGTCTTTCAATTGTAGGGGTGCACCTAATAAATATATATATACATTCAAGGGGGTTCACTATTATTTGATCAAACTAAGGTTTTATTTTGTAATATGGTCAAAGTTCAAAGGAGGTAAATGTAATTAACCATAACAAATTTTGATATACTCTGAAAATTGTTCATTCACTAGATTTCAGATCAAACTGACAATGCTTTTTTCCAAAGATTCTCTACATTTTCTCTATAAAACCTTCCGACATTTTTTTTTTCTCCATGTAAAGGTCTCCCTCAGCTTTTGTTTTATTTTCAATAAAGTCTCTATTTGTGTATTTTAGTGAAAGCTTTCTCTCCTAATGTTTACTACTGTGACTTTTTCTCCCTCATAGAGTTTTCTAATAAGAGTTTTCTTCTCTCTTAGAATAACCTAATGAGAGTTTTATTTAGTTTCTTATGTTTCTTTATTAGATATAAGAGTTTTTCTTATATCTATATATTAAATTTGGGATTTCTTAAGTTATTTTGTCAGATCTCAACATCGACTTTGAATTTGAACCAGTTTGATGGCAAATATATTAGTATTGACATGCACAAATGTTCATTGGGTTGCTCGTAATTTTTCTGATCCGTTGGAGTCACAGTGTAATCTTTGTTATTTTCTAGATTTGTTAAATTTAGTGATTTTTTAGATTAATTGTATCTATGACATGTTTAATGTATTTTTTTGACATTGACGCAGATTCCATGAAATGAAATATTATATTTCATATTAAAAAATATATATTTGAGATCAAACTCATCCACACTATTAATTGCAGCCTACAATCCAGACCGTGATTGTAGGAAATTGTAGGTTCTCGCAATCTGCAATGGAGACCCCAGATTTCACCATGCAAGTGTACCTTGGACCTTCAATTAGGGGTGGCAATTTTTGACAAAACCTGAAAACACGACACGAACCTAATACAAAATTAATGAGTTTGGGTTGAGATTTCGGGAGTTCGGGTCAGAATCAGGTTGAACCCGATAAACCCGAAAAGAAAACATGTCGATTTCGGGTCAACTAGTGGTGACCTGATATGACCCGATATGACCCATTTACGAATTAAAAATAATTTAATAAACATAAAAATAATTTTATCTAACTAAACTAAGTTATTCTTTTTTTTCAAAGGCATTAATTACTTAATCCTAAATGAATTTATTTAATCTGTGTGATGTTGAAATTATTATATTTGGACAAATATTATTTTTTGCTTTTATACTGTTTTAATTTATTTTATATTTTGTTTGGGATAAAACACTTTTACAGTGTTTAATTTATTTTAGATTTGGTTTGGAATTATTTATTTAAATTTTTATTACTTGATTATGTAATTAGTTTTGTGAGAAATTGATTTTATTAGAAATTACAATGATAAATTAATAAATTAAAATTAAATTTCGGGTCATTTCGGGTCGACCCGCTAACCCGAAATTTTCGGGTTAGTATACCTGACCCGTCACGAGTTGACGGGTCGGGTTTGGGTCAACAGATTTTCTGGCGGGTTGGGTCCTGATTTGGATCCGATTGCCACCCCTACCTTCAATGCCCATTCTGGAAAGGAATGGCCTAATGAAATTTGTATACTCTTTTTTTTTTCAATACAATGTGCAGGTTTTTACAAAATAATTTCCAATTTCGCACTGTGGTTCAAAATTATTTACATTGTTAAGCAAAAGGTGTTACAGTTTGTTCAAATAGACTTACACGTCTTGAAATAGTTGAACAGACAATCCTCCTCACCCTTGATTAGATAATTTTAGATATCTATACAATATATTAAGATAACATCACTATGTCATATAAACACTCAGTATAATTTTGAAAATTTTTAAGGGTTAATTATTTTTACCTCCCTTGAGATTTGACTAAATTACCGATCAAACCTTGAGGTTTGACAAAATAATAGTCAAACCCTCAGACTGAGCAAAACTTTATCAAAAGCATCCCTACCGTCTCGAGTCATTATTAAAGCTAGTATGGTCAGCAAAAAATTAGTGTGACAGTCCCAAAATGCCCTTATACAGGCCATGTTTCATCAAACCATAGTTATTAAATCCGATCCGGCCCTCGCAGTCAAACCGGTTAACCCGGTGAACTGGCCATTGGGCCGGACTGGGTTTTAGATTGGATTGTTTTAGCATGCAGACCATTGGCCAGTCAATGATCCGACGGTTGGACCGGATTAAACTGGAAACCCGACCGATTTTGTCCACGAACCGGTTTTTGTGGGAAAAAATTTGTTGGCTTTTCTAAGATTCAAACCTCAGACCTCTGGCTAAAGCTATAACATGCTTGCCACCAGACTACTTCTCCAGATATTAATAGAATAGCTTTCTTATAATATATAAATGTTTTGTCAATTCTATCTCATTTTAAAAAAAATTTCTCTAAAACAAATTTATTTGGAATCTTTTAATAAAAATTTATGACTCCCAAACTCTATTAAGTTATAAAATGGATTTTAAAAATAACATATTACATAATTCATTTTAAAGATAAATATTATTTTTAATAATTTTTTGCACTTAAAATTCGTAAATAAGCTAGATAATTACACTAAATATTGATAAAATTTTACACTAGAAATTTGGTGGATTACTAAGTAAATTTATGTTTTATTGATTCTTATATGATTAATTATTCTATAACAAATTAAATTAAATGAACATTTGCTATGACATTATTTATTACAATTTATATCATATATTTTATATCAAAAATTATAAAACATAATATTTATATATATTTAGTGACTCACTGGTTCAACCACTCACCCACTGGTTAAACCAGTGACTCGTTGACCCACCTCCTTTGCCGGGTTCCCTCCCGGGCCGGGTTTAATAACAATGCATCAAACACATGTCAACATATTGCTTACATAAAAAAATATAAACCAAAAAATTGAATAAAATAAGAATTCACCTCAAAAAAATGAAAAGAAAAAGGAAAAAAGGTCGTGTGGTAGACTCCCTTTCAACTCTACAACTTCAGTGTTTACATCTCAACAAATTTGTCTGTTATATTGCTTCCAACCATTCACCCTTCTTTGCCATCAATTCCATCACATATTCTGATTCTTCATTTATCTTTTCTTCTCCTCATTCATTTTTCTAAAACAAAGTCGTTGCTTTTTTCTCTTCCATCTAATTTTTTATTTCTTCTTTGGTTAAGCCATTAAGAACATATGAAGATACGGAACATTATGGTGCTGGATTCGCACCAGAATTGATAGACCATGTCTAGAGAAATCATTTGCTGTTGCTTAGATACAGAAGTGAAACTATTATCTTCAAAAAGTCTTGGTTACTAGATTTGTGATTTTTTTCCCAATTTGTTGTAAATTGAAATTTGGAAGTTTGTCCTTCAAATCATTTGAAATGCTTGTCTTAAATTTGGTAAGGGATAGGAAAAATGTTGAGTCTGATCTCAGGAAATTGATAAAAGAGAATAATAGGGTTCTTGTCAACTCAATGATGACAATAACAAAACAAATAAATCAAATAGAGAAACATAGGAATTTACGTGGTTCGATTCAATTGACCTACGTCCACGGGCGAACGTATAGCAGATTTACTATAATAGAAAGAGAGTACAAAATCCTAGGAAATAATTCCCAGGTCCAAAAAAAAGATACCCAAAACTGAAAACACAAAAAAGCCTAAATAACACTAAATGTTTAATGGCCCAAAGGCCCATGACTTGCTCTTTTGGTTGGATGCCAAACAAAATCTCTCTTAGACTGGGGCGTGGCCCCCCTAAAACTCTCTTGAATTAGTGCATATGGCACTTGAGCTGGTAGCCTTAGCACAATTAAACTTACTTAAGTCCACTATATTTATAACTCCCAAGAGGATATATTTCTTTATAAAAGTCCCGATGTGAGATATAAAGACAAACTCAACAAATTTCCACCTTGATGTGTATCCAACATCGGTAAATAGTAGACAAATAGCAAACAATCTCCACCTTCTCCATAAAAGTCCCAACGGATCTCAACGAACCACAAAAATTCCAACGAATCAAGATGCAAAAGGTTCAACAGGTCCCAACGAGCCAAATCTCACAAAAGATTCAACAGATCCCAACGGGTTGAAAACCACGAACATAGTAATCTTACTCCATCTTCTTCTCAAAAGCCTCAACGAGTTCCAACAAACCAAATAAGTCTTCTTCAAAATCCAACTGAACTCCAACAAAAATATTTTTTTCTTCACTCTCTATAGCATCCAAAACCTGTTATTGTCATTAAGAACCCAAAATCTGACCTGACCCAAAACCTGAAACTTTGATACCAATTTGTTAGGTCTGGTCCCAAGAAATTGATAAATGAGAATAATAGGGTTCTTGCCAACTCAATGATGATAATAATAAAACAAATAAATCAAACAGAGAAACACACGAATTTACGTGGTTCAGTCCAATTGACCTACGTCCACGGGCGAAGGGATAGTAGATTTACCATCACAGAAAGAGAGTACAAAAAAGAGAGTCCTAGGAAATAATTCCCAGGTCCAAAAAAAAAGGCACCTAAAATTGAAAATACAAAAGAGTCTAAATAGTATTAAATGTTTAATGGCCGAAAGGCCCATGACTTGCTCTTTTGGTTTGATGCCAAACCAAAACCTCTCTTAGATTAGGGCGTGGGCCCCCTAAAACTCTCTTGAACTGGTGTATATGGCACTTGGATTGGTATCCTTAGTACAATTAAACTCATTTAAGTCCACTATATTTATAACTACCAAGAGGATATACTTCTTTATAAAAGTCCCGATGTGGGATACAAAGATACAGCCAACAAAAAAGGCTTGTGTAAATTTGGTGAGGGATAGGAAATGGATTTTTGAAGAAGGTAATGGAGTAGCTGGTGATTAATCTTCACTCGCAATTTTTTATTTTATTTTTCTGTATTTTTTCAATTTTGAGGTTAAAATTTGCTATCCGAAAGATGGAAGCAGCCAACATTGGTTCATTTGTGTTGTTCATGTTCTACTCCGATGAGAAGTGCTCTGCTGCAAAAGTGTGGACTTTCGTCTTTGCTTCCTATGGGAAAGGAGAGATACATTTTACTCCCCTGTGGTTTAGCTATTTTTTATATAACTCCTATAGTTTCAAAAACTATATATAACCGCATTATAGTTTGGATTAAAGTATCAAAATGGCAAAATGATCATTTATAACGAAACTCGTGAAAATATTGAAATTACCCTTGTTTAAAAATTAAAATGGCTGAAATGACCAAAATATATAAACATAATATGCATGACACTCTGACCCCATATAATTTTATGTTTTACTAAATAACCCATTTATGGTTTAGTGTTTTACCATATTAGCCCCTTATGATTTTCAAAATATATGCAAAACCCCCATGGTTAATAAATAATTTTCAATTTTATATAATGGTACTTTTGACATTTTAGTTGACTCCATCATGGGATGCAAATTCTGTTATTTTAACATTTTAATCCAAACTATGAGGGAGTTATGTATAGCTTTTGAAATTGTAGGTGGTTTATATGAAAAAAGTGTTAAACCATAGGGGGGTAAAGTGTATTTTGCCCAAAATTTTAACATGGCTTAGAATTTTGCAGATAGAGATCTATAACTACACTTAACAAATCAGAGTTTACAAGGTAAAATTCATGCATCAAATGGAAGACTGGCATGCAAAGTGCAAACTCTCTCTTTAATCGCCAATTAATTTTCCCTCCCCGCTCGCATCTGTACAGCAGTTAATCCTCTCATCTAATGGAGGTATTAGAGTTTAAAAGACAACTGAATTTTGTTAATTTTATAAATTCAGTCAGTTTTCATGCAATTGTCTTGGTTTTTAATCCAGTATTGGATCCTAACAATACGCAGGCATAGGCTTTGCTGAATTCACTTAACTGAAATTGGCGGTTGGATCATGCCGCTAGGGACTCAGTGTCTGCATATGTTTGCAGTGAAAAGTTAAGTAGAATGACAAAACTGATAGTTCCCAAAGAAGACATCACAGAGCCAATTCATAGCAGAACAAAAAGAACGGCACTTGCAAACGATACCATTGCTGCTAAGCATACAAAAACAGAGTGGCTGTGTGCTCTTAATCAATATCTTCACTATTTTGATCACCTTTTGTCTAAGCAATTTATGTAGGATGTACCATAAACTACTTAATGCTTTTGTTAAGGATATTCCCTGCTACAAACAGGTTAATATTTTCACTATTTCTGCTAATCAATATCTTCAGTTAGTAGATCACTTGTCAGTAGCCTTTTAACCTGTTTGTATTGTAGCAGTGGATGTGTTCTTAATCAATATCTTCACTATTTTGATGTCACTTTTTGTTTAAGTAATTTATGTAGGATGTAGCATAAACTACATAATGCTTTTGTAAAGGATATCGCCTGGTACAAAGAGGTTAAAAGCCTAATAAGAAGTGATCTATTAGCAACTACTTAATATCTCATTACATATCTGATTTTCATATTCTAACATTAATTTCATAAATCATATGCGTCTAAGCAGCTATACAACACATTCAACCACAAAATTTGGGCAACCTCGCGCCAACTAGTTTAATTTAAACGCAAAGTAGTATTAGTAGAAAGCAAACACCAACAATGAAAATTTTTCCTAATTACCCCATCAATATGCTTTCAATCATTGACTCTCCACCAAACTTCATCATTGTGGCTTAAAGAATCGACACCATTTGCTATAATATTTCTTCACCCCCTCAACTAAAATCTTGGTTCCGTCTATGAATTCAAATCCTTTTTGTTGATCGAGATAATGAATGCAAACAGCTTGTATGTACTTTTTCTGGCTACTTATTCAAATAACATCCAATTAACATTTGGTCGCTTTTTATATTCGTAGGACTATGCATAAAGAGAATTAACAAAAGGAAAAAAAAATACATTTGTCAACAGCCATTTGTAAATCATCATTATCTCCTTTTATGTACAGCCGTTGGTGTCAGACTGTCAGGTAAAATTTTAATATGACCAAAAATTTTGCAGATGAAGAGATCTATAACTATACCTCTGATGAAGGTTGGAAGCAGATAACTTTATTTAACAAATCAGATTTTACAGGGTAGCACTTATGCATCAAATGGAAGACAGAAATGCCAGTATACACGGAGTAATGAGTGAAAATTGGAACCCTCTATGCACTACTCAGAAATTTGCTTGAAAAGTTTCATACGCGTGCAGGTTTGAAGATATAAATTCGACGTCCCGTTTATGTGGAGCATATGAGATCGACTGTCCTTTTCATCACACCAAAGCAAAATGAAAGGGAAAAAGAAATCAAGAAAATAACAGTAAACTGGAATTTTTTTTCTTGTTATTAATAGAATAGTGAGACTAACAAGGTGCCAAGACATATTTTTAATTTTAGTATGACAGAAGAAAATAAACCTGTTTTCAGACATGTTGCAGAAAACAATTCCAGTTCTGGTGGCGGCGTTTATACTGGTTGCATGCCCAGCCTCGAAAGATATTGGATTCAGGTACATAGGTTTCCATTATAAAACCTGATTCTTGATGGGGCAGCAGGGATCTGAAGCCTATTGGATTAGTTTTTAAATGAAATGTGCAAATGAATAAATAAAACACAGGAATGTACAAAGAATTAAAAGTTGAAAGTTTATTTGAGGTTTTTGCAAGTTACAGAATCGATTTTCTGTATTGTACAGTATTTGAGTTAATATAAGGCTTTTATAAATTGTATACATTTTTTTGTCCAAATCAGTGTCTTGAAAACTAGAAAAAATACTAAATACTAAACATTATGTATAAATTTGTTTCTGCTATTTTCAAGCTGGTGCAAAAAGTTATTATCATTATTATAAAATATTTTAAGTTATTTTTATGAGTATTAAAAATTATTTATAATTTTAAATATTTTAAACTTTAACGTGGCAAAATCATCAACATACTTTTTTTTTTTTTTTTGTAAGATCATCATCAACATAATTATTGTTGCATGATTGCGTTCTTTTATGGGTACGTCTTTAGATATTCGATCCATGCCGGCTTTATCTTTGGAACTTCGGATGTAAAAAGTTATACCTCTTCTACTGGATCTGTTTTTTTAATGCTTCTGCGTCATAATCGGGATCTTAAAAATGATTGTACCCCTTTGACTTTGTCCGTCAAGACCAGAGTCTCTCTCAAAGGAAAAAAAATCTTTTAGCACCCAACACATAAATAATTGGAACCAAGTAAAGGAATTATAGATCGGGTCAAGAATAATATTGATTTGAATTTGATTATGGATAAAGAACTGCCTATGTTATACTATTCCATTTTTTCACGACGAATTGATTTGATAGCTTAGGTATTATTATTCATGATATTGATCTGATTCAAAGCCATTGAGAGTTAATTCATTCATTGAATTTACGGGCAAAAGGTTCAACATCTGTATGGCATTAAATCCCGAGTTATTGCGAAACAAAGAAAGATTAGATTATGAAAGTAAATATTCTTGCATTTATTGCTACTGCACTATTCATTCTAGTGCCTACTGTCTTTCTACTTATGAGAGTAATAATCAAACCATCACGTGTCCTATTTATATTTATGTCAAATGTCCTATTTATTTAATTTATCATATGTTATTTATTTAAATTTCTTCTACCATCACGTGATTAGTGGGATTGGCACTGGATTTAGCAGTGGCATAGAGGATCCAAGTGTAATTAAACCCCGCACCCAACAAGGGATAAAAAGCAAATCTAACCGTATCTTTTAGCATACTTAACCATAGCTCCGTACCAACTAATTCTCCTAAAAAAACGTAAATATTCTTGCATTTATTGCTACTGCACTATTCATTCTAGTGCCTACTGTCTTTCTACTTATGAGAATAATAATTAAACCACAGGGGATTGGCACTTTTATATTTATGCCAAGTGTTCTATTTATTTAATTTGTCATATGCTGTTTATTTTAATTTTTTTCTACCATCACGTTATTAGTGGGATTGGCACTGAATTTGGCATCGAGTAGTGGCACAGAGGATCCCAACTGGCATACTTAACCATAGCTCCGTACCAACTAATTCTCCTAAATAACGTACGGGGTTTATGCATCCAAATGATTACACCGGAATTGACATTACATGATTCAGCCGTTATTAAATAGTATCTCCAGTGGTATAAATATCTCTTCTCCTAATTTTTATTTTTTAAAGATATCTTTTGTCTGATTAAGACTTATGAAAGTCTTTGGAAAACCTTGTTTAATGCATCTTTTGGTATCCTTTCAGCATATTGACTTTTTGTAAAATATAATTATTTTGACTTAATTTTACTCAGTCACAAGATTATTTATAATTTTATAAACAAAAAAGCTGTATTACAAAATTAGATGTGTCTCTTTAATTTGAAAGAATAAAAATAGAATGCCCCTCTCTTTTGCCCGATGAATTCAACACCTTTATTATACCTACAACATTTGTCTAGTTTCTTTAATTCCTGTGTAATGTATAAATTTTTTTCCCAGGATTAACAATGACGTCTTATGTTAATACAAGTTTCATAGTCAAATAAATTAAACCAATACTATGATATATATGACACAATTTCTGAAATGATAGTTATTCAATTATGTCACTAAAAAGTTAAACTTACATAACAATTTCCTAATTCAAGCTTTGGGAGGGGGCAAGGACTTAAAATCAGTAATCCGTTTTTTCTTTTTGGTTTTTTTCTTAGGGGAAGGGGGGAGTACACTACACTTCAAGAATGTTCTTGCGAGACCAGATTTTTAGCACTTAAGTCAAGTCAAGAAGCGCAGTGTATGTATCGAGCTTTTGCTTGGGTGTAAATACTTTTGGTCCAAGTAATATATAATATGGTAAATTCTATAGTGTAATCGGATAATTCAAGACAGGTGTGGAAAGTAAAACATATGGCAAAGAAGGCAGCACGTTACAACCTGACATATACGGATCAAGAAGAGAATATTTCTACAAAAATAAGTGGTGACCTATAGTCGAGATTTAAAAATGTTACGTTTTGCAGAAGCTCACTAATTCAAGCTTTGGGAGGGCAAGGACTTAAAATCAGTAATCCTTTTTTTCTTTTTGGTTTTTTTCTTGGGGGAAGGGGGGGAGTACACTACACCTCAACGCGCTTCCGAATATTCTTGCGAGACCAGATTTTTAGCACTTAAGTCAAGTCAAGAAGCCATAAATGAAGGGGAAAAAAAACGTTGACTGTAAAATGTGGAAACGAATTTTATAACTAAGAAGAACATAAAGCAACTGGAAATGGTGGTTGAGCTTAGTCCCTACGGGATGAAAAATCCCTATAACTACTGTAACTTCTAGTGTGGAAAATATATGCAAGGGTTTCTCACTTGTTTTTTGGTGTGTTTTTCAAGCCAACAATCGCTGTTAAATTTGAACGATATTCGGTCATGACCCTGAATTCTACAATTGTTGGTATACAGGCCTTTCATCCGCTGTTCTGGAGCCCACATCAAAGGAGACAAAGAAAGGACAAACTGTTCAACTTTTTATTTTTTGTCAAATCCTTAAGAATCTCACGTAATGTAGAGGCCCTTCAATGTTCAAAGCAGTTGCACGTGGAAACAGAATGAAAGCAAGTCTCTAAAAGTGAATGCAACTCAATTTACTTTCGCTGGGTCTCTTAATATCTTCTAATTAAGTCAATCTAAAGCTAATTTCTAGCCTCAGTGCCGATCCATAGCCGTGCACAAATAGGGGCTTCTTACAAAGGCCACGTACTAGTTATTTGTCGCAAGATGGTTTTTAAAATCAGAATCCTACGCTGGCTGGATCGTTTTTGAAATCATAAGATCAAATCGCTAATAGGATCTTAGAATCGTAAAATCTTACCAAAAAAGAGAAAAAAACTGATTATTTTATTTATTTATGAGCTTATCGTTCATGAAAACATGCAACTAGATGAAGAAAATGCAATGCTGGCTCAAAAAGTACAGTTCAATGAAAATGTATAATATCTAACATTATATGCTAATAGATAAAAGTTCAAGTCGTTTCGGAATTTAACTATTTTTAGCTAAAATTTTTATTTAAAAAAATCATTGATATGAATTTGTGAAATAGGAAACCTTGAATTCCAAATTATTAAGATATTTCTTAGTTAATTTAACCCGTGTCTAAATCCACAAAGGTCCGGTGATTTGACTATAATTTTACAAACACTAAAAGTAAGATCTCACATGCAATAGGGGTAGGCACGGGTCGGGTACTCGCCTTTAACATGATGTAGTTGATCCAATCCTAATATATCGAATCAGCCATTTTGCAACCCTAGTCCGCTCCTAATGTTTTCGAATACTAAAAAAAAAAAAGGGGTAGGTCATAGGGTACCCGCCCTTAAAAAAAACTATTTTTCCATAAAAAATTATTTTTCACTTAATATCAACATGTTTTTCAATAAAAAAATGCTTTTCTAATTAATATTGTTAGAGATATTATAATTAAAGTCCATACATCACCATTCTCACACATTTCATCCAACAATCAAATCGATCTCATAAATTTAGTACATATTAGAATTATAATATCTAATAAACAAAGCAAAGTTTCATAATAATTTTGAGTTCATCACCAATCTCACACATTTCATCCTTCTACAACACAACAAACATAAGGATAATAAGTATTTGGCAACTCCCCAACTTCCTTAAGGATGTTATGCTACAAGACTGCATCCCAAATAAGTCGATTGTGAAATCAAGTTCGGAAAAGAATTGAATAGAACTAATTTTTTTTTGAAAAAAATATAACCAAAATAACCTTAAAAAATCTTCTCCAACTTCTTTACATCTTTGGAATAGACCTTATGGTATTAAAGGTGATGAAAAAGAAAAATAAATTTCTTACACTAAATAAAAGGGACAAATTTAAGAGTCATAATTGCAATAAAATAAATCAAATAAATAAATAAATGAAAAACACAAATGTTTTAATTATCTAGCTAACAGAAAATTGAAACTCCAAACACAAATCTTTGATTGAATTGATGCAAAATTTGCAGGAAAGATCGATGGAGGTAGAATAAAAATAAAAAGGATGAAATGGATGAACAATTTTTATAATAGAGTTTCACAATTTTTTTTTCATTTTGTTCATTTAGTTCATGTTTCACCGAAAATATTCGCTTTCTTCAAATAAGATGAGGAGAGGTGGATCATATAGGATTATAATATGAGATTGTGAGCCACTTCACTTGCACTTAAATTTAAAAATTACAAAGTTATAAAATGATCCCTAAGTTTTTAATATTTATAATATATACCTTGCGGGTCGGATACCTGCAGGTTTTTATTTTTCTGATCCGTATCCGTACCCGATTTTTGCGGGTACCCGACCCTCATCTGTCCCGCTAAGAAAAATATGATCGAATATCCTATTTTTCAGATCGAATCGAATCTAGTTCATCGAATTTTCGAACCAACGAATTTTTTTACCCACCCCTAATATGCAATGATGGAGACAAAATACTTTAGATCAGCA